AAATTATAATTGCTAGTAAAAGTGTAAATCCACAGCTTCAGAATGGCTGGGTTTTGTTTGTTTTGGATTTTTGTTTGTTTTGTTTCTTTTGAAACAGGGTTTCTCTATGTAACAGCCCTGGCTGTCTCTGAACTTGCTTTGTAGTCTAGGCTGGCCTCAAATTCTCAGAGATCCCACTGCCTCTGCCTCTTGAGTGCTAGCACTAACGGCGTGCACCACCATGCCTGGCAGCTGTTTTAACTGTGTAGAGGTCCATTGAGATGAATAAACTTCATCTGGAAAATCTCACAGCATGTTTTTCTTGTATTTGCAAGGTCTTACAATAAAGATTTAATTAATAAGATAAAATAACACAGTGTGTGAAAAACTAAAAACATAAATCAAAGCAGTCTGTAAATCTAAGGAAATGAAAAATAATGTACAAGGTGTTATAATTTGTTGGCCACTTGCACTCATTTTAATTACTGTCTATTCATTAATTGGATTGATGTCTTTCATATCATTTTCCCTTTATGTTTTCTTTTTTTTTTTGTTTTTGTTTTGTTATTTCAAGATAGGATTTCTTCCTGTAGCCCTGGCTGTCCTGCAGACCTGTAGACCAGGCTGAGGTCTTGAATTCAGAGAACCACCTGCCTCTGTCTCCCAAAGGCTGGGATTAAATGCATAATTTTTGTATGTGCAAGTTCTTTACAATAAAGTTTTAATTAATAAGATCAAATAATGCAGTATGAAATACTAGAAACATAAATCAGTCTGTAAGTCTAAGGAAGTGAAAAATATTGTGTTGTTATAATTTTTTGGCCATTTACACTCATTTGAATTACTATCTATTCATTAGCTTGACTAACATCATATTCATACCATTTGCCCATTTTTTAAAAGATTTATTTATTTTATGTATGTGAGTACACTGTCACTTTCTTCAGATACACCAGAAGAGGGTGTCAGATCCCCTTACAGATGGTTGTGAGCCACAATGTGATTGCTGGGAATTGATCTCAAGACCTCTGGAAGAGCAGCCAGTGCTCTTAACCGCTCCATTTGTGCTCCAAATGCTCCAGCCCCCATTTGCCTATTTTGGATGGAACTGTTTAGTTAGCTTTGTTTAGTTCATTATATATTCTAGTTATCAATCTTCTGTCAGATATATGAATGTGGGGTACGTGTGTAGGTTTGGGGATCAAACACAATGCTCCTGCTATTAGCCCCACACTGAGAAGGCTAGGCTGACTCCATGACAGGGTTCAAATTGACAGTTCAGAACTGGGCAAGTCCAGCTAAGTCCAGGCCTCAGAATCTGCCCCACCACCTGGCCTGAGGCAAGGACAATGGGTTAGCAGCAGTTTCCAGACTGCCTCAGCTACTTCCTCAGCAACAGTTTCCAGCCCCTATGCCCGAGTAATGGCTTACTTGGCTACCCCTCTATCTTGGTAATGGGAGACCCCAGCATACTGGACTTCTGTAAAATAAAATCCTCTTTCCATTTACATGCTATTTGAGTGAGAGTGTCATTCCTTGATGAATCATGGACCCTTATAACACCATACCACCTCCCATGCTTGTACGCCTGTGTCTTTCCTCATCTGTCAGATGGAGGTAGTATTTACTTTATGGGTCTATTGGAACGCGTAGACTGTAGAAAGCACTCTAAAAAAAAAAAGTGTCTTGGTTTCCTAGATGCCATGTGCAATGTAGTCTCAACACTGTGAGGCAAGAGAGGCACTTCAGCTCAAGTGAGGGCAGCCAGGTGAGCAGAGGGTGCTATGATAATTACTTAGACAGGATCATGAACCCTAAGGCCCAGAGCCTTTGGCAGTTTCTCCAGAACCCACTGATCATCAGTTTTTGGAAAAGCTTTCTTTTTTTCTTTCTTTCTTTCTTTCTTTTTTTTAACAGACCATGTCTTCTTCCCTGGCCTCTGAACATTCTTTTCCACTCTCCACTTATACCACCTGGCAGCTTCACTGTGGAACACACCCGCTTTCTTAGGCCTTACCCCAAAAGGCTGGATTTTCTCTCTTCCTCTTCATCTCCTTAGTCAAAATTGCTGAGATCTGAAGCCCACCTGCCTGTTGTGCTCTCAAACTGACAAACAGGTCCCTGTGCTTCCTTCTGTTTACAAATTCTTTCATTACTAAGACAAAGAACCCACTAAAGGGAACTCTGAGTTCCCTAGCAATAGCCACAGTCACAAGGCAGGCATGGGTGTGGAAGGCATGCTGGTAATCTTAACACTCCCAAAGCTGAGGCAGGACACTGCAGACTCCAGTACAGCTTGTGGCACACAGTGAGAGCTGTCTTGGGGTGGCAACTGTGGGGCACGGTATTCCTACCTCCTCTACAGCATTACTTAGTAAAACACTTCAGTCTTTTCTATGTACTGCCAGCATTTGCTCATGACTTATAAAGCCAACTCAAAACCCTTGACTTGTATTTAAAGAGCTCCCTCCCTAACCTCCATCTGTTTTCCATTTCTCCTCCGGCCACATTTTCTGATCTCAAGGAAACAGTTCTCATTTCATTCTGAGCTTTTTGGGATTAGGCAATCCTTCTTTAACTTGTGTGGTCTAACCTCCTCAAAGACGGCAATCATTACAGCTCTCCTTCTACTTCTCCCCTGCCCCCTTTCTCTCTCTCCCTCTCCTTCTTTTCCCTTTTTTCAGGCAACTTCAAAGGGGAGAGAGTTTAGAGTTCAGCTCAGATGATGTCATCCTCTAAAAGGAATAAGGAAAGTAACATGCTGCTGTACTTGATGGATAATGATGGACAGGGACCAATGATGGAAGGGGATGTCTCAGCGGGCGGGCGCATGCCTGCATCTCTTCCCACTGAGGGACCAGCCACACGACGGTATAGCATAGAATAGAGTTTATTCAGGGCATGAGGAGGGGAGCCAGGAGGGTAGTAGAGGCGGTGGGGGGGCAGCAGCCCCTTTTATAGTGGGTCAGGCCTACCTGGCTGTTGCCAGGTAACTGTGAGGAGGAGCATACCTGGATGTTGCCAGATAACTGTGGAGGTGGAGTTAGACAGAATGCTAACACTACTGAGTAGCTGCTTTTCCCACGTCATCATTGAGAGAGGGGTGGTAAGTAGCAGGTGCCTGTAATCCCAGGGAGGTGGAGACAGGAGGATTAGGAGTTCAAAAGCATCTTCAGCTACAGAGCAAGTAGCCAGCCTGGAATAAAAGAAACCTTGTCTTAAAATAAACAAACAAACAAGGACTGCAGAGATGGTTGGGAGGCAGGGTACGTGCCTACAAGTCTTGCAACCTGAGTATGATGCCCAGGGCCCACGTAAAGCTGGAGAGGACCCACTTCACAAATAATATTAAATAGAAATTCTATGTACTCGACACAACTGACAGAGTTTGTGCTTATTTATTTCAACTGATGACAAATCTGCAGCTAGAGGCAGTTTGGGGGGTTGCTCTAAGCTGAGAAATTGACAAAACCAACTCAGGAACCCGTCCCTTCTGATGCAGGATGCTGTTGAACACTTGAGAACAGCAGCGAACACGTTTCAGACCAAGGAAATAAGGTCGGTTAGCACAACTTTATAAGGTCTCAGTATCTAGCCCCTGTTATATAAAGATCACTAACTATAGCCAAGGTATCATAGTAGTCCTAACAATGAATGTTTAAGCTGGAATGGCCACAGATAATTTTAAAAATAAGTTCATGGGTTAAGGAGTTTAGCTGAAGTTAGGTTAAACATACTGTGTTGGTGGTGGCACACACATTTAATCCCAGCACTAGGGAAGCAGTGGCAGGTGGATCTCTGAGTTCAAGGCCAGCCCGGTCTACACCGCGAGTTCCAGAACAGCCAGGACTACACCGAAAAACCCTGTGTCAAAAAACAAAGAGTGTTTACTACTCTTAAAGGTGCCCTAAATTTGGTACCTAGCACCATAAACCACCAACTCCAGCTCCAGGGAATCCAACATGCTCTGCTGTCCTCCTAAGGCACACACGTGACATAAATATAAATACATCATTGGTTAAAAGCTATCTTTCTGATGAAGACAGAAAAGGTCCGAAAATTAGGGCCTCGCAACTAATTACTAGTAAGAGTAGAAATTTACTCAATAAATATTTAGTGCATGTTCTAGGTTAATGAAAGGTTGAGGAAAAAGCACAACCTCCCAATTCCCTGTGCGGAGAGAGGTCCAAGGCGAGTACCCGCTTCCCAGAGGGCAGGGTGGGCAGGAAGCACCAAGGGAAGGATGCTGGCCCCGGGCCCCTCGGACCGTTTCTCCGCCGAGCCGCGCGAGGGCGCTGCTCCCCGTCCTCGTGCGCCGAGCCCAGCGGCACCGCCCACTCGCCTTTTCCCGGCGGAAATGCCGGGGCGATGACGGAAACCCGGAGGGAGGGAAGAAAGAGAGCGAGAGGACCGCGGCCAGAGCGCGGAGAGGCCTGCGGGTGGCGGCGGCAGCGGGCGGGCGGGCGCCGTCAGGCCGGAGCCTCCCCCGAGCCGCGCCGCGCTCCGCGCTCCGAGCCGTGAGCCCTTCGCCGCGCCCCGGGCGCGTGGCCCGGGCGGGGCGGG